CACAGGTGATCCTGAAGATATAAACACCTGGGTCTTGGACTGGATGACCGAAAATACTCACTATAAGGCACCGGCCTCTGAATTGCTTCACGCCCTGCCCATCAGTCCACCCAGTGAAGGAGCTCGCTGCCTGTATTATGAACCAGAACTCACAGCTCATTACATGCAAGTATTAATGAAGACTTTGAAGCCCGGTCAAGCCCCAAGGACCAAATTCCTTGTGAAGGATTTACTCTATGTGCCCAGAACCGTCTATCGCATTCTGACGAGGACAATGAGTCACATCAAAGGCCACGACTCATCCGATGAGGAAATAGTTGGCATCATGAAGAATCTACTATTCAACATTATTCATAGCATTCCTATCTACTATCACGATTTCTTCATGAGGACTGTGGCAAATGCTGCACTTTCTCTGTTTGAGCTGAAACCTTATGCACCTTGAATTATGAGATTCCTCAGGACAAGGTCTTCACTCAACTACAAGGCTGATTTTCATAATCACCTTAGCTATCTGCCCCCGATTGAACTCCTCAAGCAGGCTTTTACTTCAACTGATGAAAAGGGCAAGGCTCCTGCAGTCATTGATGAAGGCATTCGTGCATTGGATGGTTAGTTTCGCAAAGCTTCATCTTATTCCACCAATGATGACTCTGTCACACATGACTCTGCTACCAATGCACCCAAGTCTACTCCTCAAGCCACTACTCCTCGTGTGATGACTAACCATGAGCTTCTACTTAGTCTTCACCAGAAGGTGGATCGAAACCATAAATGGGTTAAGCGTCAGTTTGGTTCGTTTCTTCACAACATGACTGCTACACACAATGCACTGAAGAAAAACCATTACTACCTCCATGAAGTCTTCGATCGCACCTAGGCCATTCTATCACATCTGTATGGTGAAGAAGATCTGAAGAAAATGGGTCTCAAGGAAGATTTTTACTGGTCTGCACCTCCATCAAAGAAATACAAGAAGGTCAAGGTTCCTTCTTTGGTGTCCATCTCATATTCTTCATCACGCGATACCGACGAGTACGAAGAATTGGACGACACTGCGGCAGGCCCTTCAACGACAAACGACCCCAACAATGTTGGCGCTCCTTCATTAACTTGATTTTCTTCAGGGGCGTTAGTCCTCATTTTCCATCATTTTGGTCATTCGATGACAAAAGGGGGGAATTTTGAGTTAGTCTTCAAGCGGGTCTGTCTATATGGGCGTTTTTTTGCTAAGTTACAACTCTCGTTCTTTTGAGACTTTATTGGATCGAGTTGTAAACTTAAACCCGATGGTGCTCTGATGCTTTTGATGTTCTTTTTCTGCATGCTTATTCCTCATATATGTTAATGCACGAATGTTGAATTACATCAGTCACCATATTTCATCATGCATTTCAAATTCCTCATTATGATATGTCAAATGCGTGTATGAATTACAAGATATAGGGGGAGATCTCCATGATTCTACTCTTCAAGTGTGCAATGCTTCAAAAGCAAATTCCTCATCATGCACATCTTCAGGGGGAGTTCTTCTATATCTTGCAATCAAATTCCTCAATATCAGTATTTACACTTCATATGTTTATCCCTGTTGAAAACTTAACCTATATTGTCATCAGTCACCAAAAAGGGGGAGATTGTAAGTGCATCTAGTGCCCCTTAGTGATTTTGGTGTATTGAAGACTTATAGGTTAAGGGACTAATGTGTTTTTGAGTGTACACAGGTCTATAAGTCTATGAGGAGTTTGATATTTACAGAGAAAGTCGACCCCTAAAAATGAAGTTCTTCGACTGAAGACTTTGAATTTTTGAAGATTTTCTGAATACTTTGAAAGTGAAGAAATTGGTGCAGTCCTGAAGACTTGGTATTCATTCGAGGAACATGAAGCATGAAGACTTTTGTTTTCGTAGTTTCATTTTCTCTTTCTTGAGTTATAAGAAACACCGTACTGTTAAAGGGGGCGAGGAAATACTAAGAAAAATTTTCCATGTGATGCTCAACTCAAAATCCTACACCTACCAATCCCTTCGAGTGAAGCCATTGGAAATCTCATACAATTCAGTCATATTCTTTAGTGACAGAGACGAAGTTCTTCTGGTCTCTGAGGAATTTATTCTGACTGAGGAGTTAGGAATTCGCCAGTGCGGATTGCCTACACAGCGAGGACCATGATAACCCTGAGGAATTTGATACTCAAATTTCCAACCGTTGCTGTGCCTTATGCCAGCTGTCCCAAAATATCTACCCACCTAACGGTCATATCATTGAAGGGCATTTATGTCTTATCATGTCAGGCTGCTCCCTAGGCTATAAATAGCCGCCCCCTACAACCACTAGCTGGTTAGCTGCTCCGAGAGAAACTGACACTTGTCATTTGAGAGCATCCCATCCTCTAAGGACTTTGAGCGAAAATCATCAAGTGAGGAAAACCCAAACCCAAACACTTACAAACCCCAAGTGATTGAGCATCACTGAAGAGATTGATCCTGCGTGGATCCGACGCTTGTTACCTTTGAAGAATGTGCTTCTTCCAGACGGTTAGGCGTCAAGGTCTAGAGCATCCAAGAGGAATTGTGGATCGCCGAGTGACCAAGTATGTGAAGGTTCGGAAGTCACCTGAAGACTTATCTCGAGTGATTGGGCGAGGTCTGTGTGACCTTAGCTCAAGGAGAATACGGTGAGGACCGTGTGTCCGGGACTGTGTGTCCTCAGGTTTATATACCTAGCCGCTCCAACCAGATGTACAACTGAGACAGCAGTTAGAACTGGTCTACCAAATCATTGTCTTCATCAAGCTCATTGGTTCTATTTCCTCAACTCTTTCATTTCCTCATAACTGTGTTGAGTGCTTGTTTGTATCTGTGTTTGAAGACTTTGACTAAAGACTTTCTCAATTTTCTCAGTTCAATTTCTTAAGTCTGTTTATCTTCATCCTATGTTTACACTTTCTGTACTCTGTGCTTATTTTCATTTCATCATGATGACTATGCTTGTGCTCTGTTATGTTTACTTTTGAGTACTTATTCCGCTGCTAGTAGTTCTTCGCTAAGGAATTTCCTCACCTGCAAATTCATCAGTGAAGAATTCATAAAAATCGCCTATTCACCCCCCTCTAGTCGATATAACGCACTTTCAATATCTAAACAACCTATTTGTTGCAAACCATAATTAACCATATCAATCCTTTCAGAGACGTATCACTTCTCATGAAGCACATCCATAAGTTTCTCAACAGAGAAAATATTCCATGGGTCAACATCATTTGGGAAACTTACTACTCCAACACACTCCCAGGAGAGAGATTGGTAGGATCCTTTTGGTGGAAGTCCCTACTCAAGCTCGTGCCCATCTACAAGAAGTTTGCAGTTTGCAAAGCTAAGTCTGGAAATGCAACACTTTTTTGGACTGACTGTTTGGTGGGACCAACCACCGGCAACAAAGTTCCCTCAGCTTAATTCCTATTCCACCAACAACACTGTGACACTGCAACAGATTATCAGATCACAAGAGCTGTCAGAACATTCCCACACTCCTATATCTCAACAAGCATTTCAACACTATAATCTCCTACTAGAGCAACTACTAGAGAGACCGGCTTCTAATGCCACAGATGAATGGATTGTACAAGGATCAATAAGAGGCCACTCTTTCATTAAAATGTACCACCACATGATGGGACCTAGCACAGTACACCACCTCTTTCAATACATCTGGAAAACATCTTGCAGATTGAGGCACAAGATCTTTTCTGGCTCCTTCTCCATGACAGGATCAATACAATGAATTTTCTCAAGAGAAAGACCATGCACCTGGATAACAATAACTGTGCATTGTGTGCAGATAATACAGAGGAAACACTTCTACATCTCTTCTGGAATTGCCCATTTGCACTGCAGTGCTGGGACAACATCATTCCATTTAGGCACAGAGGTATATCGATATTTAATGAATTCTAGCTTGCCCAACTTCAACTGCCACAAGATATTGCATAGGACATTCTAACAGTGTGATGCTGGGGAATTTGGTCCATAAGAAACGGCAAGATCTTTAGGGCATCTACAACGCCAGTGCTTAGAGAAGGCGCCAGGCTTCTGTTCCTGGCCGTTATGGCCGAATCCCGTTCGATCAAGGGATTCTGGCTAGCGTCGATGCAAAGCCAGGCATCGGACGCCTGGCCTTTTCTTCTTTCGCGCTAGCTTTTTCTATCGAGTGCTATCCATCTTTTACGGGGAAAAACAATCTCATTAGCGCTCAAATAGGCGCCCCGCGTTGGACAGGCAGACTCCTACCCTGATCTTATTTTCTTAATTTTTTTTATTGTCTAAGCGCCCAAATAAGCATCTTTGCATTGTAGATGCCTTTAGATCAGCTGCACCACACATTCATGGCTGAAAGCATTATTTACAGGAAGGACCGTGAACTACTCAGATCAAGGCAAAGCACACCAAAACAGAAAAGGTCGGTAGTTAGGTAGGACAAAACATATAATCTGATGTCAATATTTCATAGAACCAGCATAGGTTGAATTTTCTTTATATTGTTTTGCTGGCTTGTACACATTTTAATTTATTAATGAGAATACCGTAGAACTATTGTTCTACGGTTTTACAGTAAAACAAACAAACAAATGAGGCCTGAGACGATGCATGCTTCGTTAAGTCCAAGGTACCGAAACATTATGCGCTTTGGTTCTGAGGCAAAGAAAAATACATGCAGTCCACACTCCACAGTAGGATCTACTGGGGAAATTCACGCACAAGTACTACCATCTCATTCCAAAAATAAATAAATAGCTGAACCATGTATATATTCAACGTACATACAGTAGCATGTTGTCTCACAAAATAAATGTAGGCATATAAACTCTATCCAACTGTTTGGCTGATTAATAAATGTATACATATTTTACTGTTTATAAGATGTATGGAGGCACTTTCTTGTTTGCTTATTAGTTTTGTCAGTAGATATTGTTGTATGTAGTGTCATTCTGAAACCCACTCTAGTAGGAGTATGAAGTGGCACGACTGTACTGTCGTTTCACTTCAACCCCTCTCCGGAGACGCAGCAGGGAGTAGACGGCGCCGGCGATGAAGAAACTGACGAACCAGGCGTTGTCATAGGCCACGACGAGTGCCTTGGACATTGTCGGCAGCACCCCGACCTTGTGCAAGAACCCCGGCATGACGGCGGCGAATCCTGCCGCCATCGCCACCATCGCGGCAACGTTGAAACCGCCCTGGAAGTAGTAGGGGCTGTCGGCTTCCTCCGAGTAGAGCGCGTCGACGTCCAACGCGGTACGCCGCACTATGTAGTGATCGGCGAGCACGACGCCTCCGATGGGCCCCATGAGCGCCGCATTTCCCAGCAGCCAGGTGAAGACGAAGCTCTCGCTGGAGCCGAGCAGCCGCCACGGCTGCAAGGCGATGCCGAGCAGCGCCGTGGCGAGCGCGCCCTTGGCGAACGTGAATGTCTGCGGCGCGAGCGCGACGAGGGTGTTCGCCGGCGCGACGACGTTGGCGGCGATGTTGGTGGTGATGATGGCTAGGGTGATGCCGAAGATGGCGAGGACCCTGGTGGCGGGCCCGCCGATGCGGCTGAGGAGCTCGATGGGGTCGGAGATGACCTGCCCGAAGATGGCCTCGGTTGAGGAGGTTATGGCGAGGCCGGCGAAGGTGAACATGCCCATGAACACCGGCAGCCCGATCTGGCCGAGCACCTGGTCCGTCTGGCTCCGGGCGTACCGCGCGAAATCCGGGATGTTGATGGCCACCGTCGACCAGAAGCTGATGTTGGCGGTGAGCGCCGGGAAGAAGAGCTGCCAGAATTCGCCGCCGACCAGCCGTGGCGGAAGCGAGAGGATGGGCCCGAAGCCACCGGCGGAGACGTAGGCCCAGGCCAGCAACGCGGAGGTGAGCGCCACGAGCACCGGTGCTGCGTACTTCTCAAGCTTGCGGATGCCGTCCATGCCGCGCATGATGACGGCGAGCTGCGCGGCAGAGAAGACGAGGAGGCACGCGATCTCGAGCGGCGAGGCCCCGAGGCCGGGCACCGGCTTCAGCAGCGGCGCGTGGGTCTTGAGCCACACCGGCAGGAGGAGGAAGATGGCTCGGCCGCCGATCCACGACTCGATCCCGAACCACCCGCAGCCGATGACCGCACGGACGACGGCCGGGACGTGCGCGCCGTGAACCCCGAAGGCGGCGCGCGCGAGCACCGGGAACGGCAGCCCGTGCGTGACGGCCGGCGCGGCCGTGAGCACGAGCGTGGCGAGCACGATGAGGTTGGCGAGCGTGACTGTGGCTACGCCCTGGATCGCTGACATGCCGAGGTCGACGAGGCTGCCGGCGAGGTAGTAGGCCGGCACGCCGACGACGAGGCCGACCCAGAGGCTGGCCAGGTCGAAGCCCGTCATGGTGCGTGCCGACTTGGGCGTGGGGGCCAGGTCGTCCGATCCGCCCGACCCAAGCCTGGGGCAGACGGGCATGATCCTCCTGGCCGTGCCGCCCCCGCGAGGGAGGTGCAGAGGCGCGATCCCGGCTGGCGGCCCGCGCGGGAGCAGAGGCAGCCGCGGCGGCGAGGTGGAGACGGCGAGGAGGTGGTGCAGCTGCAGGTGGTGAGCGGAATGCCGTGCGGCGAGCGGTCGGGACAGGGCCGTGGACACGGCGGCCATCGTGTCGACTGTCGAGGTGGTAGTGGCCGCACCGCGAGAGCAGAGAAGCGGAAGCAGGGGAGCGAACGAGAGGAGGGTGTGGCGCGAAATATTGCTGGACTCGAGTGTGTTTGCAAACGGGGGAGGTGATAAGGGGAGGGGCACGTGTTACGTGCAGGGGGGCCTGCGTCCGAGGAGCCGAAACCTGGTTGGTTGCACTGCTGGTTACGGTACCGACGGGCCATTGCCTCCGGCAAAAGATCAATTTCGTTTTTTGTTAGGCAAAAAGTCAAGGTGGCCATGCCTCACCACGCAACAAAAAAAAAGAGACTGTGGCCATCTTCCCACAGTTTCATTGTAAAAAATAGTCCTTCTAAAAAATATACTAAAATGTATCACCACAGATACAGACATACAGTGAAAGGAGATGAAGAGTGACCTCGTCACTGCGGCACATACGCCCGCTGGCCCGAGTGCAACATCTCTCATGAGTGGTTAAACGCTTCGGTGGTGCGCTCTGCTCCATCCAAGAAGATACGCTCGGAATCATCCATAACATCAAAGTCATCAACCGCTTGGATCACGTTGGAAATTTGCCCCGTGAAACAATTGCGGTTTTCTAATTTTACCTTATTTAATTTTCGAGGCAATGCTGAGTATACTCATGGATATATACTCGCAAACCGTCGAATGCGTTTTCTTTAGTTAAAAAAGGCTCGGATCCAATATAAAAAGTTCATCAAAACTACAAAGTACCTCAAGTATAATGAAAATTACGTCGAGGTCTCTGAACCACTGAACAACCACTTACGCCGCCAGAACGAGCCAACGATGCGCTGTTGTCGCCGCTTCCATACCAGAGCCGACCTGAACTTATCAATGACAGTCGAAAGTCTTCATGCACGTGTCCCTAAGAACTAGCGCTCTGGAGCCACAATCTTCACCATTGAACCCTTTAATAATTGATCTAAAGAACCTGACACTAAATCTTGTCGTCATATATGCGCAATGAGAAACCCTAACCTAGCCGCCCCGAGGAGCTGGCAGGAATTTACGTCAGAACTCTTATAATCTGTGTCGACGAATGAACTTGAGAAGGAACGAAGCCGAAAGACTGACTCGAAGAAGCGTCGCCATCCACCAGAGCGTCATCCATGCGGGGACTAAATCCCTAACATATCCACTAGCCGGAGCAAAGGTAGAGGCATGGCGGATCCATGGGCTCAGCAATGAAGATCGAGGGGAGGAGGACTTTGCCCTAGTCATCTTGCTCAAGGGAAAAGAAAGACATGCACATTGTTACCCATTGAATACTAGAGTTATGGAGCCTTGAAATTGAATAAATATTTACGTGCCTCCCATTATCGATGAGACATCACCTCGTATAGAAAGAATGATATGTGTGTCTGGACTGGACTTGGCGCCTGGACTTGTTGTCCCATCGATGCTTCTTTGCACCTACCGGACTTGGCACCCTGATTTCCTCATAGGTGCACCCTGGGCATCTGGACTTGTTGTCCCATCGTTGTTTCTTTGCACCGCCTTGGCCGACCTTGTTCATACAACGACAAGGTTGGATTCCTGTTTGTCCTCCCTCTTCCGGTCCCGATTGCGGTTGTTGTTTATGCTTCTGGCGCCCTCGTCGTGTGCGGGCTCAGGAGTTTCTGGAGCTATGGTGTGGCGATGGCCTACGCGAGCTGTTTCATCACCAGTTGCATAGTCACTGGTGATCTTCATTAGTTGTGCCATTATGTTTAGCTTCTCGTCAACCTGCTTTTTGCCCAGCCGGAGAAGAGAGTCCTGAGCACAGTTGATGAAAGCATATATTGCGCGAGATGAAGTCTTGTGCGAGCTGTTGGCGTTGTGTATGCAGTTGTGGAGGTCGTATGCGTCGCCGAGGTGGTATGTGCCCTCAAAGTTATTGATGACATCGGTTTTGAAATCTATCCAGGTGTAGATGGAGCTGGGTGGGAGCTGCTACTCCTGTAGGAGTTGTTAGTTTCCCCGGAGAGGAAAGGTGTTGTAGCACGACATGATATAGTATTTCTCCCAGTTAAGAATCAAGATTTATCGAACTAGCAGGAGGCATCAAGGTAGCAACATTGGCAGTACCTGCACACAAACAAATAAAAATTCTTGCACCCAACAATAGCAAGGAGGTTGTCAATCCCCATGTTCTTGCTAGTTACAAGATCAAAAGCAAATATATGTGATAGGGAAAACAACAATAAAGTAAAGGAGTAAATTGTAGTTTTTTTGTATTGATGGAAAATAGAACCTAGGGCCATAGGTTCACTAGTGGCATATCTCTCGAAAGCATGTACTCGCATGGTAGACAAATTATTGTTGGATAATTGACATAATAGCGCAAATTATAAATATGATCATTCATGGCATAATCTCACATAGGTATTACATCAGTGATAAGTAGACTATAATCCAACTGCATCTACTACTATTACTCCACCCAAGACCGCTATCCAACATGCATCTCAAAGTATTAAGTGTTGGGGAACATTGCATGGGAAACAAAAAAAATTCCTACGCACACCAAGATCAATCTAGGAGATTACCATCTACGAGAGGAGAGATTGGGTCTACATACCATTCCGGTCCTCGTGACATCCGTGATCTCATCCGGGACTCCGAACAACATTCAGTCACCAACGTGAATATCCCAATACTACTCTAGCATCACCGAACGTTAAGCGTGTGGACCCTACGGGTTCGAGAATTGATACGTCTCCGTCGTATCTATAATTTTTGATTGTTTCATGCCAATATTATACAACTTTCACATATTTTTGGCAACTTTTTATACGATTTATTGGACTGACCTATTGATCTAGTGCCCAGTGATAGTTCCTGGTTTTTGCATGTTTTTTGTATCGCAGAAAAACCATATCAAACGAAGTCCAAATGCAATAAATTTTACGGAGAATTATTTTGGAATATATGTGATTTTTGGGAGTTGGAATCACCACAAACGGAGGCCCACACAGCCCACAAGACACCAGGGCATGCCCCAGGCCCCTGGCGCGTGGTGGTGGGTTGTGCCCTCCTCGAACGTTGGTTGGAGCTCTACTTCGGGTGCAAGGAAGCTTATATCTAGAAAAAAATCGTGTTAAAATCTCAGCGCAATCGGATTTACGGATCTCCCTGAATATAAGAAACGGTGTTCGGTCGGATCTGAGGAACGCGAAACAGAAGAGAACAGAGAGGGGTATCCAATCTCGGAGGGGCTCCCGCCCCTCCGCCGCCATGGAGGCCATGGACCAGAGGGGGAACTCTCCTCCCATCTAGGGGGAGGCCAAGGAAGTGAAGTAAATATGCCCTAGAGGCAATAATAAAGTTGTTATTTATATTTCCTTATATCATGATAAATGTTTATTATTCATGCTAGAATTGTATTAACCGGAAACTTAGTACATGTGTGAATACATAGACAAACAGAGTGTCCCTAGTATGCCTCTACTTGACTAGCTCGTTAACCAAAGATGGTTAAGTTTCCCGACCATAGACATGTGTTGTCATTTGATGAACGGGATCACATCATTAGAGAATGATGTGATGGACAAGACCCTTCCGTTAGCTTAGCATAATGATCGTTTAGTTTTACTGCTATTGCTTTCTTCATGACTTATACATGTTCCTCTGACTATGAGATTATGCAACTCCCGAATACTAGAGGAACACCTTGTGAGCTATCAAACGACACAACGTAACTGGGTGATTATAAAGATGCTCTACAAGTGTTTCCGATGGTGTTTGTTGAGTTGGCATAGATCGAGATTAGGATTTGTCACTCAGTGTATTGGAGAGGTATCTCTGGGCCCTCTCGGTAATGCACATCACTATGAGCCTTGCAAGCAATGTGACTAATGAGTTAGTTACGGGATGATGCATTACATAACGAGTAAAGAGACTTGCCGGTAACGAGATTGAACTAGGTATGATGATACCGACGATTGAATCTCGGGCAAGTAACATACCGATGACAAAGGGAATAACGTATGTTGTTATGCGGTTTGACAGATAAAGATCTTCGTAGAATATGTAGGAGCCAATATGAGCATCCAGGTTCCGCTATTGGTTATTGACCGAAGATGTGTCTCGGTCATGTCTACATAGTTCTCGAACCCGTAGGGTCCGCACGCTTAATGTTCGATGACGATTTGTATTATGAGTTATGAGTTTTTGATGACCGAAGTTTGTTTGGAGTCCTGGATGAGATCACGGACATGACGAGGATTCTCGAAATGGTTGAGACATAAAGAATGATATATTGGGCGATGTTATTCGGACACCGGAAGAGTTTCGAGAGGTAGCGGGTAAAACAGAGTGCCGGAGGGGTTACTAGAACCCCCCGGGGAAGTAATGGGCATACATGGGCCTTAGGGGAGAGAGAGGGCAGACCACGAGGAGGTGACGCCCCCCCATGGGGAGTCCGAATAGGACTAGGGGTGGGGGCGCGGCCCCCCTTTCCCTCTCCCTCTCCCCCTCCCTTCCTTCTTCCCCCTTCCACCAAGTGGAATCCTACCAGGACTTGGAGTCCCAGTAGGACTCCTCTCTGCGCGCCTTACAGGGGCTGGCCGGCCTATCCCCTCTCCTCCTTTATATACGGAGGCAGGGGGCACCCTATAACACACAAGATTAATTGTCTTAGCCGTGTGTGGTGCCCCCCTCCACAGTTTACCACCTTGGTCATATTGTCGTAGTGCTTAGGCGAAGCCCTGCGCGGATCACATCATCAACACCGTCACCACGCCATCGTGCTGACAGAACTCTCCCTTGTCCTCAACTAGATCGAGAGCTCGAGGGACGTCATTGTGTTGAACGTGTGCTGAACACGGAGGTGTCGTACGTTCGGTACTTGGATTGGTTGGATCATGAAGACGTTTGACTACATCAACCGCGTTACTAAATGTTTCCGCTTTCGGTCTACGAGGGTATGTGGACACACTCTCCCTCTCGTTGCTATGCATCTCCTAGTTAGATCTTGCGTGATCGTAGGATAATTTTTGAATTACTACGTTCCCCAACAGTGGCATCCGAGCCAGGTCTATGCGTGGATGTTATATGCACGAGTAGAACACAAAGAGTTGTGGGCGATAATAGTCATACTGCTTACCACCAACGTCTTACTTTGATTCAGCGGTATTGTTGGATGAAGCGTCCTGGACCAACATTACATGACCGCGTTCATGAGACTGGTTCTACCGACGTGCTTCGCACACATGTGGCT